TTTCATTCCCAATGTTGTAATTTGTGCCTCCTTTGTCCCGGTCAGTCTGGCTCAGGCTCATCAAATTGAGCTTTCCAAATAACTGCTTTTTGCTGTCACTGATTTTTCTTTCATGTTTTTGTCTTCATTGATTTCTGCTATTATTTCCTTTGTTCTGATTACCTTGGATTTAATTTGCCCCTTTTCTAATTAAGGTGAAAGTTTAGCTCATTGATTAGAAACTTTCCTTTTAAAAAAAATATGCATTTAGTATTATGAATTTCCCTTAGAGAAAAAGCGCTACTTTAGCTATAGTCCACAAATGTTAATGTTTTAATTTTCATTGAATTAAAAAATATTTTCTAACTTTTCTTGTGAATTCCTCTTTACCCCATTAATTGTTTAATATCTGTGGATCTTTCAGAGACCTGTCATTGATTTCCAGAGGCATTACATTATGGTCTGAGAACATACTTTGTAGGATTTCAATTTTTTTTTTTTTAATTTTGTTCGGGTCTGTGGGATGGCCCAGAACACGGTGCGTGTTGGTGAGCATTCCGTGTCACGTGGACAGAATGTGCGCTCTGCTGTGGGCGAGTCGGTCCAGCTGGTCTCCACCCTCATCCTGGAAGGCTGGCTGCCTCGTGTCTAACCTCCAAGAGATGGTCCGTCCTTCGGTTCTGCTTCTTGTGTGTTGAAGTGCTGTGGTCCTGTGGGTGCTCATCTTGGACTGCGATGCCTGCCTTTGTCACGGAACGTCCCCCGGTCTCTGGCAATATTCGTCTTGAAATCCATGCTGTCTGATGCTGATGTGACCATTGCAGCTTTCCCCGGATTCGCATCTCCAAGATACATTTTCCCCATCTTTTTTTTACCTCTGTCTTTATATTAAAGTGGGCTTCTTAGACATAACATAATCAGGGTTTTTTTTTTATTCACGCTCTGTCTGTAATTGGTGTGTTGGGACTGTTTCTATTTAACGCGGTTATCAAGAGCTGATTTTAGATCTACCACTTTATTGTTCTGTCTGTCCCTCTGTTCCCCCTTTCCTGCCTTCTTTCGGATTGTTTGAAAACCTTCGGATTTTTGGCTGCATGTGTGTGTGTATGTGTGGTCACGCTAGGGGTTTCAGTTACATGCCCACCCTTTCGCAGGGGATTTGGAGTTAACTGTAGACGTCTTACCCCCCTCCCTTCACGTCACAGCTGTGGGCATTCGCAGGTGTTGAAAACCCCACCAGTGTTTGAATTTTTGCTTTCAGCAGTCACGTACATTTTTTAAAAATCTGAGAGGGAAAATTATCTTTCCTATTTACTCAGATGTTGACCATTTCTGTTGTTTTCCCCCCATGCCTGAAGACACACGTGTCCAGGTGGCATCATTTCCTGGCGGCCTGAAGAGCGTCCTCGGTAGCTCCTTTCGAGCTGGTCGCACAACCAACTCTCCCCTTTGCCGAAGAGCGTCCTCACTTTTCCTTCCTTCCCGAAGCTCCGGGCTGACTGCTGTCTTCTGAGACTTTCAAGACCCGCTTCCCCATCTTCTGGCCCCTGTGGTTGCTGATCCCAGTGCTTGTTCAGATTATTGTTCCTCTCTACAGCTTTCATTTCCACCTGGAGCCTTCCAGACTTTTTTTCTTTGCCTTCAATTTTTAGTAGTTTAATTATGATATGTCTAGGCACGGCTTTCTTTGGATTGGCCCTGTTGTGGGGGGTCACTGCGATTCTTGTAAGTTGAAGTCTTTCCTCAAATGTGAGAAATTTTCGGCCAGTCTTTCTCCAAAAAAATTTTTTTCCTGCTAGCATGTTTCTCCTCTCTTGGGACTTTAGTAACACAACGTTGGACCTTCTCAGATCCTGTGTCACTGGTCCTGGGGCATGGACTTGCCCCCACACTTGTCTCTTCTCCAGACCAGATGATTTCTGTTGGCTGATCGTCCAGCTCACAGAGTCTTTCCTTGGACACCTCCTTTCTGCAATTGAGCTTGTTAATTTTTTGTGTTTTTGGTATATTTTTCAGTTCTGAAATTTGTATCTTGTTCTTTTGTATCCTCTCTACTCAGCTGAGATCTTTCCATCTGTTTCGAGCGTGTTCAACTTTACCTTCTGTGACATAGTTCCGATAATCCCACCACCTGGATCTGAGTTGGCATCTGCTGGGATTGTCTTTTCCCTTGGAAGCTGGGCACGTCTTCATGATTCTGTGTTCTAATCTGGCATCTCAGCTGCTGTGTTGTGTTGACTCTGGGTCTGTCATGATCCTCTGGAGAATGAGGATTTTTGTCCCAGCAGCCTGTCAGTCTGGCTGGTTCAGACCATAGGTTCTGCTGGCCTCCAGTGTCCACGGTGAGCTTCGAGTGTTCTTGTGCACGTGGATGTGGACGTGGTGGCAGGGCCTCCCTCCTGAGTTTGTGGCCAGTGAGTGACCACGGAGAGGACCTGGCACCTCCAGAAGCCCTTGTGTTGTCAGGACGATGCCCCACACTCTGCCTGATGCCCCCCAATTCTCTCCCTGGGTAGGGCAGGGTTTCAGGGAGACCATATGGGGTGGATGTAGGTGGGGAGGGGGCCTCCCCAGGGCAGTGCACACAGGTGGGCCAGGGAGACCCCATTCTGTGACTGGATGCCCAACCTCATCCTGGGTGCCCCCTCCTCCCCATCCCCTGCTTTTAAACTTTCACGCTGCCTGTACTGGGGACAATGTGCATCCCACCAAAATGATCCCCGAGCCCGGTCCTCACCTCTCCTTCCTGTCCCAGCTCCCCAGATAGCCCTCTCCAGTCTGATGGCCCCATGGCCCCCCTGTAAGCCTCTCCCACCTGTTTCCCTAGCCCCCACTGATCTTGGGCGGGATACCAGCTCTGCCACCAGGGGTTTGAACTCAGTTCTCACTTGTCTGTAGTGTTCCTGAGTCCTATGCCCTGTAGATTAGAACAAAGTTGGGTCAGGGTCACGTAACTGGTATTTTAAGACCAGGGTTCACTGCTGGGCAGGATCAATGTGAGGCTCATCCTAGCAGGAGGGGTCACCCCTGCCCCCCTACACACACACACAGGCTGACAAGCCAGGCAACCTCTAGGGCCAGAGCCTAGGAGTCAGCTCAAGGTCATGCTGGGTTTCAGGGCAAAACCTCCCTAGGTGAACAGAATAAATGTGTAAAAAGAGAAAAGGTAATTAATTGGTACATAAGATCTAACTTCTTGGACAGTGTGAGAGAACAAGATTCCCTCCCCAACTTTTGGGCTGTTTCAGGAGATGGGGGTGCCCCTTGCCCGGGTCAGGATGCCCAGGCTGCTTGCTGTGTTCCCCATGCCAGGGAGTGGGCCACGCAGACCCAGGCGGGTTCTCCAGGTGCTCACCAGGGAGGTAGTTGGAGCCCTGATATCCCACCATGCAGCTCCTGTAGTGAAGCCCTCAGGGAGGCCGGCCTGTGACTGCAAAGGGCAGGCTTTGCAGACAACCCCGAGCTCTGGGGTCCTGGGGAGCAGACGGAAAGGAGAGGGGTCCAACCTGCCAGGGGGGTCTGCACCTCCCCCAACCAGGCCGTCTATTCCCTCCATGCTCTCGGACCGGCAGCTGCAGAGTGGGACAGGGTCACTGGATGGAAAGGCAGCCTGCTCCTCCTCGTCTCTCACAACTGCCCTTAGGGCCACTGTGCAGTCTTGGGGGTGGGTGTTACCAGAAACAAATGGGTGGGGCCCAGCAGCCAGCCTGGCACCGGCAATGCCAGTTTCCTGCAAAATTCCCCAAATTAGCTGGCAGAGAGCCCTCTCCTGGCTGAGGCCAGCATTACACCTCCAAATCCAGGTTTTCAGCTTGGGTTACCCGCCCCCCCAGCAACTCGGCTGCATCCCATCATGCCCTCTGAGCAAAGGGCACGGAAGGCCCCATAAGTGGGACACCCCCCATCCTTCTCCTTGCTGTCGCCTGCTCACTCCCTGGGGCATCTGGCTTCCCACCTGGGCACCGAGACTCCAAACGAGCCCCCCTCCTGGAGGAGGTACCCAACTGACCAGCCTCCCTCACCCCGAGGGGTCTGAGGCCAGCCTCAGTGAATGAGGGGACCACCAGTGTCTGTCCCACTGGAGGGGGACCAGGACCTACCCTGCACCTTGCTACACGCAGCTGTCCAGAGGGGACGGCCAGGGCACAGGGTGCGGTCAGTGCTGGAACCCTGGCTGGCTCACGGAAGACCTTCACCTGCCCCCATGTCCCCAGCCCCCATGTGGTGCTGCCGAGGCAGGCGCCCTCAAGTGAATGCCCTGTGAGGGTCAAGGGGCCGTGTTTCAGGGACCCGAGAGGAGAAGAGCCACACTTCAACCCACCCAGGTGCTCCTATGGACCCCACTCCATGAGGCAGCAGACCATGCAGGCATCAACTTTAATATGGGGCTGACCTGTTGGGGGGCTGGGAGGATCCCCTTTCTGTTCTTGTTGGGAGGGAGATGTCATCGGGATTGTCTAATATCAAGATGAACCGTCAGATAGAGAGCCGCGACCACCCCTACAGCATCCGCCCGGTCGGAGAGCCCCGGGTGCCCGGCAGCTTCCCAGGCAACGGGGGCCGCACCCGCCCGAGCGGGCCCGTCAGCACCTCCGGGAAGCCCTGGGAGACCGCTGGCTCTCCAGGAACGTTCCTTTGCAGTGGGGCCGAGCTCCCGCTGGTGATGAGGGCTGGTCGGGGCTCTGCAGCCACCAAGCCAGCAGGGGTGGTCCCCCTCCTCGCTGACCCAATGCCCCTGAACACTGACACAGAGGAGGAGAGGTTTCCAGCCCTGAACCGACATGGAGACTGGGCAGGTCAGGAAGCCAGGCCACAGCAGGGACTCCCTAACGGAAGCCGCCGCCAGCCAACAGCAGCAGCAAGAAGTGAGGAAAGGGCGGGCAAGGAAGCTAGGTTCGTCGCGCCCTCCAAAGAAGAGAGCAAGCTGCGGAGAAGGCGGCCGTGGAGCCTCGCGGGGCCGGGGACAGGAGTGTGGCCAGCACCAGGAGCACTGGGCCTGCCTGTGGCCGCATGGGAGCCACAGCATCAGAGGCCGTGGGTGGCCGGAAGTTCTGAATGTTGCCATTTAATCCACAAATGAGAGCAAGACAGCAGCGCCTGGGAAGCGCTCCTCCGCAGAGTCACCCTGGAATGGAGCCCTGTGTGTGCCACGCTGCTCCGTCAGCACCTGACCGGCCTGGCCTGGAACCGGCCTCCTGGGAGCCGGGTCAGGGCTGACCACGCACCCAAACTCTGTGGGCCCCAGTCTCTGGGGAGTCCCCGCCAGTCCCAGAAGAAGAGGCCAAGTTACGAGGCTGCCACCAGTTCCACCTGCTTGGGCCTGGCCTCGCGGGGGACTTGCTCTGTGGAGGAAAGAAAGAGGTGCTTGTCGAGTAGAGAAGACCCCAGACGCAGAAGGAAGGAGGGGAGGTGGCAAGGAGCTGGGTCTCATGGCAGTGCGCTCTGGGCAGGGCCTGGCGTGAAGGAGGGATGGGGAAAGGGGCAGAAAGAAACATGGAGGGACCACCAGCCACGCGGGGCCCCTGCGGCGAGTGACACCACAGGGCCCTGCTATTCAGAGGACAGCTCGTCCCGGCCGGACACGGCCTTTCCCCAGCTCTGCCTGTCTCTCTGAATGGGGTTAGGCTCTACAAGGTCACCCCCATCCCAGAGACCCAGAGTGAGGCCCGTGCTCCTGAGTCGGCTCCAGCAAGCTCGCCTACCCAGCTGGGGAGGTGCGAACCAACTTCCACCAAGCAGGAAGGGAAGGACCTCGCGGCCCGGGCATTGCACTTTGTTCTAGAATCCACTGTTCTCCAAAGGACAGAACAAAAAGCATACCTGGTTTCTTTTCGGGAAGCGGCTCTGAAGGGACCTCTGGGAGCTCTAGCTGCTCCTATAAGAAACAGGGCGGAGGCTGTAGGACACCATCTGAACGGGAAGCCTCCCGCACCAAAGCTCCAGAGCGCCACTTCTGCAGCATCCGGCACTGCTGAGACTTGCATCACCCCAGGGGCTCCCCTGGAGACCCCGGTTCACATCCCGGCCGTGCAGGCGTGCAAGGGCTCAGGAACGCGCACACGGGTCCCGGAGCTGCAGGGGTGCCCCGGCTTTGCTTGCTCTGGGGCAGGGCTCTGCTGGAGCTGCCTGTCCTGGGGGGGGCGGGTGGGGGGCGCTGGGCTGCCTCGGGGGCAATGCATGGCAGTTCACCTCCCAGCCGGCTCCCCTGGCAGCTCAGGGGGCACTCGGGTCCTCGGGAAGGAAGGACATCCGGAGGCAGGCGCCTGCGGGACACTGAAGGGCAGAGAGCAGTGACCCTAACTAGCTGCTCCTCCTGCAGGTACAGGAAGCGGCAGGTGGGGGCCATGGTGAGAACGTGGAGCCCTGAGGTGGTGGCCCAGAGACAGGGATCGCTCAGTCAGGGAGCAGACACAGGCCTCAGGGCCTGCCTGCGACAATGTGCAGGGCCTGCACGCGACAGTGAGTGACCTGGCCACGACGGGAAAGACCACTCATGTGATCACGAAACCACACTCTGTCCTCCAGAAGGGTCTGAGCGAGGAGTCAGAGCATTTCTGCGCTGTCCAGGCATGCCTGGCTATAGGCTTCCCCAGCCGCCTGCAACGTTCTTGGGTGGACAACCTAGGACACCGTCCTCTCCAGGCCAGTTTCCCCCGTTGTCAGCCAGGTACACAAGGAGAAGGGACCTCAGTGTAGCACAAATTCTCGTTGTTTTAGGAACACCAGCGGCAAAACCAGGATTGTGTGCTCGTGTGACAACTGATGCAGGTGCTCACCCAAGGCCAAGGACCATAACAGCAGGAAGCCTCCTGGGGGTCTGATCACCTGAGTGATTGTGCTCAGTCCTGGGGGTCCTGTCACCTGAGTGATTGTGCTCAGTCCTGGCAGGTCCTATCACCTGAGTGATTGTGCTCAGTCCTGGGAGGTCCTATCACCCGAGTCACTGTGCTCAGTCCTGGGGGTCCTATCACCCGAGTGACTGTGCTCAGTCCTGGGAGGTCCTATCACCCGAGTGACTGTGCTCAGTCCTGGGAGGTCCTATCAGCCGAGTGATTGTGCTCAGTCCTGGGGGGTCCTATCACCTGAGTGATTGTGCTCAGTCCTGGGGGTCCTGTCACCTGAGTGACTGTGCTCAGTCCTGGGGGTCCTGTCACCTGAGTGATTGTGCTCAGTCCTGGGGGTCCTATCACCTGAGTGACTGTGTTCAGTACTGAGAGGTCCTATCACCTGAGTGATTATGCTCAGTACTGAGAAGTCCTATCACCTGAGTGTTGTGCTCAGTCCTGGGGGTCCTATCACCTGAGTGACTGTGCTCAGTCCTGGGGGTCCTATCACCTGAGTGATTGTGCTCAGTCCTGGGGGTCCTATCACCTGAGTGATTATGCTCAGTACTGAGAAGTCCTATCACCTGAGTGTCTGGGGGTCCTATCACCTGAGTGACTGTGCTCAGTCCTGGGGGTCCTATCACCTGAGTGATTGTGCTCAGTCCTGGGGGTCCTATCACCTGAGTGTGCTCAGTACTGAGAGGTCCTATTACCTGAGTGATTGCATTCAGCTCCTCCAGGATGGCATCTTCATCTTCCTGAGTGAAGCTTCCTGCCAACAGCTCATCTATTTGCTGCAAACGGAAGAGCAGAGGTGAGGACTGTGGCCAGGCTGGGGCAGGGGGTAAAGTGGCCCCTTGTGGAGGAAGGAGACAACCCGTGGCTCAAGGCCCCCCCTTACTCGAGGGCAGCCACTGGGCACTCACGCAGGTGGTAGGTGTGCTTGCAGGCTGGTGGAAGGTGGGGGCCCTGGAACCCGGCAACACCTACCCGCTGGTACTCCACAGCCTCCTGGGTCTCCTCCAGTATCCGCTCCACTTCTTCTATGGACATCACCTAATCAGTGCAGAGGGAGTCTCGTCAGTGAGGCACATAACAGAAGCCCTTGCAGTAAGGCCACCTGGACTGGCAGGGGTAAGGCCACCTGGACTGGCAGGGGTAAGGCCACCTGGACTGGCAGGGCACAAGACAGGCCGCGCGGGACACGACACGGTTCTGGTCGTTTCTGCCGCAGGCTGGGCCCATGCACAGAGGCTCCAGGGCTCCGAAAAGACCCGTCTTTTCAGAAGCCTCGACTGCACTGCTCAGACTCCTGCTGGCCCTTCGCCCCAGACCTCCGGGCACCCCAACCAACCCTAGAAGGTCCAGGTCGAAATAAGTAAGAAGGTGTCAAAAACTTTCTCTGGGCAGCTGACTTAATTTCGTTTGGGCTCAAGGAACTGCCTTTGCTTGCCCGGCAAGTACAGGACCTGTCAGAGGTGGTCAGAGACGGACGGAGGCCAGAGAAGCTGAGTGGCTGTGGCGTTCTGTGGAGCCTCTGCCGTCCACTCATCAGGAGATGGGAGTGGGCTGGGGCACGGCCTCTCTGGGCCTCACCCCTCCTCTTGCTACCCACCTCCATGCCTCATCCTATGACAAGGCTGTGTTCACCTCCTCCAGGAAGCCCTCCCAATTAGTTCACCACACCCTTCCTGCACCCTCACCGGACTTTTCTTCCAGTCACTTGAACGTCTGTGGACCCAATTCATAGTCTGTGCCCATCACCCCACTCTTAGGTCAATACCCTGGGTTTGTCCGCCACCAATACCATCACCTTCTCCCGGTAGCAGCTGGCTTTCCCACATTCCCAACTGGCACCAACAGCTCCTGGCCAATGGCCCGGGCACAGGTGTGGCCTCGGGCACAAGCCCCGCCCCCTCGTTCACCCAGCTCCCCTTCCTCTCTGCCTGCAGCCCTGCAAGGACTCACCTGGTGCATCTTTTTCAGACACTCATTTCCAATCTGCAGCCCTTCGACCACCTTCATTTCAATCTGGGTGAACTCAATGCTCTGGACCTGAGGAGGACGTCAAAGCAGACCAGGTGGTCAGGAGCCTGCCTCCCCCACCTCCTTCTCCCCCCACTGCCTGCTCCGCCTACCATCGTTTCCAGGCTGGTGATTTGGTTTTCTGTCTTATCCAGAAGCTGCTCCCGGTACCGCTTCTTCTTGAGCAGCAGCTTGGCCCGTCTGCAGAGGGAACCCGCACGGTGACGCGCCAGCCGTGCCCGCTGGCTGGCCTCACCCGGCAGGGACCAGCCTCCTGGGCCTACCCGACCCCCTGCTCTAGGCCGACAGGGGACTGAAGCCCCTTCGCACAGCCTGCCCCGGGCCCCACTCACTCCTTCCTCCCGTCCCGCAGGAGCTGCCTGGCGATCTCGCGCTCCTGCTCCAACTGCTGGGTGATCCTCTTCTGGTACCGCTTCAGCTTGTCCCGCTGCTGCTTCAGTTGCTGCGAGAGAGCAGGCCTGGGTCAACACCGTGCCCTCGCTGCCCCGGGCCCTGCGCAGGCCACCCAGCACCCTCACAGCCGCCCCGGCAGCACACCGTCTATCACAGAGTTCTCCGTGCGGACAAAGGGCACATGGGGCAATGTCTGCAGACATTTGCGGCTGTCATCACGGGGGGGGGGGCATGCTCCTGGTACCAGTGGGTGGAGGCCAGGGGTGCTGCTCAGCATCCTGCAATGCCTGGGACGCCCCACAGAGTGGGGAGGCAGCCCCAGTGTCCACAGCGCTGAGGTGGGGAGCCTGTTCTCAAATGCATCACTGCACAGCATGGCTGTGGATGCTCGGGAGAGAGGGAGAGCAGCAAGTCAGAGTGTTGCCACTGCCTCAAAGGCTCAGACACACAGAGAAGGGCCCCAGAGAGCCACCATCCCACCCAGCCACAGCGAGGGTTTGGGGCCTTCCATCCCGGCTTCACTCTGCCGGCTTTAGACGTGTTCTCGATATGTTTAGCTACCCTGCTCTTGTCGCTTATCACCGTGTCTGAGTTGACAACAGACGGCCCATTTGGGTGAAGTGCTTGCGTGATCTTGCCAAGCACCTGGGACCCCCGGGTACTGTCCCAGAAAGGACACAGGGTCATTTACACATGTCCTATTTTAGGCCATTCACATTGCTTCCAAATTTCACCATTTCAGATGACACTACGGTGAGCACCTGCAGGCACAGGGCATTTCTCATAGGTAGCTTTATATCTTTACCATCGATTACTGTTGAGTTAATTAACTTAATTAAGTCAAAAGGTTCATACATCTTTAAGACTCAGTATAGTGAGAAATCATCCACCAGCGTAGGCGTGTCTGCAGGGGCCTGATTCATGGCTCCTTCTACAGCACGTTCTCCTTAGTGCCTGCCCCAGGGCACCACGTGGCTGTGGGTCAGGCCCGGTGATGGCCGCACACACTCTCCTTGCTGCAATGAAAGGGGTCCACTATCCTGGCCCCATGGCCCAGAGACACCGTGGCCAGCCTACGTGCCCAGTCTTCTCAGCTCTGGCTGCCGTTCCTCCCCGGGAGCTGGGCACCCACCCCTGCCCCTTGGGCCACTGTCCAAGCTGGGCGTGTACAGAGTATTGAAGACAAGCCAAAAGAAGCAGGTGGGGCCAGACTGCCTCCTTTGTAAAACGAGAGGTGTCAGTGGAGGGTCACGGGACAGAGAGCACACTGGGGCCTGGAGCTTCTCAGCTTTACAGCCTAGGAAAACATCAGGCAGTAACTCGGTTTATTGTGTGCAGACCTCGTTGTTCCAGTCTGGGCCACACCAAACTGAACTCCTGGCAAGCAGAAAGGCCTCCTTCCAGAGAAACCCAAAGGTGAGTCCTTAGGAGAAGAGAATCGCCTTGGGGGTTCCCGCGGGCGCCAGGTGCGCCCCCTGCCTCCCCAGGGCTTGGTGCTCTTCCCGTGCAGCACCCACCGCCCTTCAGATTTTCTCTAGGGACAAACATGCCCGATTCCCCTTCATCTGGGGAACTTCAGTTAAGAACCTTTTATAACATAGGGTCTCTGAAGCCAAGGTGAAAAAACCATCTGTCATTTGAATTTCTCTCTCGGTACAAAAATGACGCATTTTTGTTGTAGATAATTTTGAAAAGAAAGCATGAGCAAAGGTACACTCTGCTCAGATTCTGGACCACCTCCTTCCTGGCACACTTTTCTCCTTACAAACACGGACCAGTGTGCACATGCCGTTTCACTTAACCTATCCTAGCATTCTGTCCACAGAAACTAACTTTTCTACCGGAGCTCCCCGGAATCTGCAGACAGCAAGAGCAACACCACGACCCCTGGCGTGGCGGCAGCCCAGCACTGTCGCTGGGCTCCGGGGCGCCTCAGGGGCCCGAACAGGCTCGCAGACCCAGGCGAGGCTGGCGCGCCCCGAATCTCGACCCCGCGCCTGGGTTGGGCCGCGGCTCCCCGGCCCTGGGGCGCGGGGCGGGCCACCCGGCGGGACGGGCCCCCCAGCCCGGGTCGTGGGACTCGGAACCTGCCACCCGCGAGCGCGCGCCCGCCCGCCCGCCCGCCGACCAGGTGTGACCACGACACAGCGCGACGCTCCGACACCGCGGCCCCGTCTAGCCCTCGCTCGGGTCGCCTTGCGGCCCCTGAGCGGACGCGCCTCGGAGCTCGGGACGCCGGCCGCCCGCGGTCCGGCGCCGCGACCCGGCTGCGAGAAGCCCGTCCGGCGGAGCGGCAGGCCCTCCCGGGGGCCGGGCAGCCCCGCCCCAGGCTCCCCGCCCCCGCCCCGTCGCCGCGGGGCCCGGCTCTCACCAGGACGGCCTTGTCTTGCTCGGTGACCCGGCTCTGCTTCTTGCGGCCGAACAGGTTGCCCATGGCGCCCCGGCCCCGCGGCCCCGCCCGCCGCGCCCCCTCGCCGCCCTCGCGGCCGCCGTACGCTGGCCCCGCCCCCTACGGCGGCCGCGCGGGGCCGGGCGCCGCAGAAGGCGAAGCGCGTGCGGGCGAGCTGCCGGCGCTCCACCGGTTCGAATCCGCCCCTGCAGGCCTCGGCGACCGTGGCACGAGGACGCTGCCGGCCGGGCCTGCGCAGTCCTAAATGACGCATCTCGCGTGCCCTCCGGAATGTCCCCCAGCTGTGCAGATGAAGACTCAATGTTCCAGTCTCCTGTTTAGGTGGGATCCTTGCAAGGTAACCGGTGGACAGTATCCGCAGGCCGTTAGAAATCTTGTACCCGAGCCACTGCCCCCTGGCTGGTGCTGACCACAAAATGCTGCGTTTAGTGATGTTATATTCAACCTGCGGGCTTCCAGGTGTCTCCTGAGAGCTACCTGGGCCGTCCACCCGGCCCTGCACCCCGGTGACTGTGGATCCACCTGGCCTGTGGCTCAGTGCCCGGACCTGCTCAGCATGGCCCGTCTCCACTTCTGGTGCCCTGTGCTCTGGCAGAAGCCTCCAGCCCTGGGGGATGAGAGCCTGCACGGGGCTTTGGGGTGGGGAGCCACTCACACCTGCCACCCTGGTTTCCACCTATGCGTTCTGGCCGTGAGTCCCTGGTTCGGAGGGCACACTGCCTCTCATAGGACAGCACCCAGCCCTGTTCGGTCACCCCAGCTGATCCTGTAACGGAGTCTGCCATGGGCCGGGCCACCGTCCTAACAGCCCAGTGGCTCGTGGGCAATACGTGTCCGAGATGAGCAATCCCGGGGAGTGAGCTCCTTGCCTTACCTCCTTCTGCAAAATGACCTCCTTGGTCAGAAGCGGTGTTGTGTGGGCACCGTGCTGGCCGGCCTCCAGCACACACCGGTGCTGCTCTAGCAGAAAGCCCCGTAGGTGGGAAGGGAAATCCATATCCAGAGGAAGTGTCTATGCAGGGAGGACAAGTCACTGCCTCATGATGGAAACATCCTGATTAGCCAGCCTGCTGTCAGGTGGCTGGCTGGTCCCCCCAGGGAGCGGTGCTCTTCCGGGGGCTCGGTGCTGTTGAGCGGCTGGGCACTCCGCAGTTGTTGGGGGCAGGCAGGCCTTGGTTGGGGCTGAGCCCATAGCCTCTATCCCAGCTGCCACGGCCACTTCGTGAGCACCGAGGGGCAGGGGAGAGCCGTTCAGGGTGGTGACTCATGTCAGGTGTTGGCCATAAAGCCTAGAGCTCCATTTCTGTTCCACGAGGCGGGCACTAGTCTAGGTGGCTGCCCATGTATTTCATTCTGGACACCCTGATTAACCAGAGTCCCTGGGAGAGAGCACTCCGCACAGCAGTGTGTCCCAGCCTCCTACTAGGGTAAGGTCCAGCCTTGGTTGGAGACGGCGTGGCCGCTGCGGGACCATGCAGCCTGCCTGGGGCAAAGAAAGGTTGCAGAGGCTGAGAGCCAGAGCTGGTCTGCAGGAGAGCCCACCCCTTGGCCAGGAAACTCACTAGGCGGTACATGGTGGCCACAGAAACTGCCCACCAGGGCTGAGAATCTTGCTGGGCACAGGACAGGCTGGAGGAGGTCCGCCAGAAGCAGCCACAGGTGGAGGAGAAACTCACTGACGAGCCTTCCACTTGCTGACCCGCTGGCAGTGCGCCGTAGGAAGAGAGAAGCAGCCTGAGACAGAAAGGGAGCCCCTCGCTCTCCCTGGCAGCCGCGTTGCTCCCACACTCTGGCGAGGAGGCCCCATCAAGCTAGGTGGCGAAGGAGAAATGTCTGCAGGTCTGGCTCCCCATCACGAGCGGCCAAAGAGAGAGCGAGTCCCCCGTCAGCCTTCACAGACCGCAGTAGCGATGCTCCGGGACTCCCAGGACCGGGTCATAAAGGTGACATGGCCAATGGAACTCACTTGGAACTCAGCCACCTAGTCGGCAGAGCCTGGCGGCCCGGAGCGCAGCCTGCGTGGGGGAGGAACTGGCAGGCAGCGGCCCGTGCCAGCCACGCGGCCACCGGCTTGGACAGGGAGGTTTCCATCCCCCGTTGGCAGGGCCACGCCAGCTGATGTCGCAGGGAGCAGGGATGCGCCTTCCCTGCGGACTCGGCCTAAACTGCAGATTCCTGAACTCGACCCACGGTGGTGGCTGGTTCTACAGCAACAGTGGACCGGAATGATGGAGTAGGCACCTTGGGCAGGCGGGGGATTTGCAGCGTGTACTTCTTGGAATCCTGCACGGTGGGGCCCATTCTGCCCTCTGTTTCGGGCCCCAGTCCTGGAACCGGCTCGGGCTGGGGGGCAGGTGCGAGGTCAGACTCTGTTAGGTGCTTGGTGTCAGATCTCTCCTCACCCGATCTGGATTATTTTCTCAATGATCAGTGCGAGCTTTCCTACAACGTCCATCTTGTTCAGGCCTAGGGGCACCTGACCAGCTGCAAGTCCAAGACCAATGCCGAAGAGTCCAGCCCTGTCCCTCGTGACCACTGCTCCCACAGCCCCGCTCTCTTGACCCCAGGGCCTGCCCCTTTGGGTGCCTAGGGGAAATCAGCACCTCCACCGTCATTCCTGGCCCACAGAGGGCTTTTCAAGAACGTGAGGTCCTCACCATGGGCTTTCTCAGGGCCCCTGTCAAGGTGCTTTGGGGACACAGCGAGGGACCCAGTGAATGGGCTGCACCTGACACATTCACAGCATGTCCTTATCTCCCTAAGCCCCTGGAGTCTCCCCTATGTATTACACCAAGGGATTTTTGGCAGCTCAGCTGTGCTGTGTTAAGTGCAAGTTTCCAGCAACAAAGGGGCAAAGTTTGGAGGAGGTCAAGGAAAGGCCCTCGCAGGTGAAAGCAAGAGGTGGGGCCGCGGGTGTCTGGAGAGAGTGCCTGTGCGGGCCCTCTGTGGCTCTCTGCTATGAGTCAGCAAAATCTTGGTATTCTTGGGCTGGGGTCTGGCGGAGGATCACCTCCCCGAGGCAAGTGACTGCCTCAATGTGGTCCCCATGGGAGGGGCTGTCTCAGGGAGGAGGGTCCCCTGTGCTGGCGGGCCAGGCTTTATGGGCTTAGCCCCAGGGGCGGGGCAAGGTCCTTCCAGCCCAGGGTCTCCGTCCTCACTCCTCCGCGCTCCAATCTGGACCTGGCGGGGTGGAGAGCCCACTGTCTGTGGGAATCCTGCCAGCCCCAGGATGAAGCTGGGGGAGTGGTTTCCAGATACAACGTCCTGCCACAGGAAACCAGATCTTTCATAGTAGTCCAACAGATTTTCCGATTTTCTGGTTCTACCCTGGAACTGAGAACTTAAAGCTTGTCATCTTAAAAACATCTTATTCTCCGGGGAAGTCAGAAATTGCCAGCCCTCCCCACCGTTCCCCCAGAACGCTGCTTTGCAGCTGCTTCTTGGGCTTCCAGAACCGGGCTTTCAGGAAACACTTGCTGCCAGCGAGTCATAGACACGTGTTCTGACACAGCTCGCCGCGGCTACCCAACCCGTTTTTCACAGGCTGCCTTAGTCTGCTCGGGCTGCCGTGACAGATCGGTACAGACCGGGCGGCCGAAACAACAGAATCTCACTGTCTCTCAGTCTGGAGGCTGGAAGTCGAGGTGTGGGCAGGGCGAGTTCCTGCTGAGGCTCTGAGGGGGCCCCTGCTCCGGGCTTCTCCCAGTCGCTGGGTTAGGGTTGGGGTTGGTCAGCCTTTGCATTCCTTGGCTTGTCTCTGCCGCCATCTGCACCTGCCCCCTTGTGTGTGTGTCTGTGTCCAGATTTTCCCTTTCCATAAGGTACCAGTCCTATTGCATCAGGGCCCACCCCAGTGACCTCATTTTATCTTAATTACCTCTGTAGAGACCCTACTTCCAAATTACATCACATTCAGAGGAACCAGGGGTTAGGACCCACCACGCCATAATGACATCATCACTTCCTGTAACCTACTGTGGATTTCTGCCTTTGAAGCTCTCTCCTGGAATGACCTGTGATACGAAGCACTGCATCACCCACCTTCGCTCGGGGCACCTCTCTGGGCATTTCAAGCCCAAAGTGTTTAATACAGAGAGTCTGTACTTCTAAACCACTGACAGCGTGGCAGGAATGAAGGTGGAGGGTCCCATCACTGGATCTTGGGGAATACAGAGACTCTGCGGCTTGCGTGAAGGGCGTGCTCAGTGACCGTGGCCTCCAGCCCGGGGTGTGCTGCACCATCTCACCTGCCAAAGCGCCCCCAGCTGGGAGAATCCTCCTGTGGGTGGAAAGTAGCCCAGAATTCCGATGTAGCTTCCGGGGAAGGTGTCAAGGGGGAGGTGGCGTTGGGGGTGGCCAATCCACGACACGCACACCCAGGGGACGTTGGTATGAAAACATGGCCCTTGTGGGGGGCCACCATCAGCAGGGCTGCTGGAGGCCTGGTAGGGTGCTGGCGGCCCCTATGGAGTGACCCCGGGCCTTCTGGTGCAGATGACATAAGCTGCACTTGAGACAACCGGGGAGTTGGCTGCGTGGGACCAGCGCGGGAAGCCATCTGGGACTTCTCTGTCCACCTGCTCTCCCTCCTCCCGTCCTGGCTCCCCGACAAGAGTTCTGATTGGCTTCCCTTCCGGGGCCAATCGGCTGTGGCCGTGGGGGGAAGGGGAGGCTGATTGGCTGAGCCTGGTGTCATGCTTGCAGCTGAGCCAATCCGCAGACGGGAGGGCGGGACCCACGGGAGGCGGGCGCTCCCACTCACGTGCACTGAGCGGAGGGAATTTCCTTCCCCGGATCCCCGACGCCGGCTGTCCCGCGACGGGCCTGCATGGGGGCTGTGGGTCCGGCTCACCCACGGCTCGGGCCAGGACACCCCGGCGGAGGCCGAGCTGGGGGCTGGCTGGTGGGGTACAGGTGCACTTTGGACACGGGGCCATGCGGTGTGTTAAGAGTTTTCAGGGGTCCTGGGGGTCAGACTAAGGAGGCACTGACAGAAACAGTGGCCGAGCCAAAGAACATTCTGGAAGAAGTCAGAAGAATCCGGGCAG